TTTTATTAAATGTCAGAGATGAAATTTGCTGTACTATTTACGACATTGACATACAATTAAAGTGTAGAGTAAAAGTTTAAAGTGAAATGTTTTAAGCCAAAAGATAAATCTTTTTGTTCAATTAACATTCAATTGATAATAAGGTACCCGCAAGTTCGCAATTATCCCTTTACGTAAAAATGTCAAAAGAAATGTTGGAGGTATTTTAAGATGAGTTATAGTTTAGCATTCAGTGGAAATTTATCATGCTCGAGTTATAATTTGATATGTGGTGTAATTTACATGGACTAATTTTAAAGTTCAACATATTTAAACGATAAACAAAAAAAAAATGCTTAACTTTAACGTGCGATGAATTAAAAACACTAAGTAGTATTTTTGTATTCTAATGTGTTGACAAGTGTTACAGTTTAATTCAAGTGTTGTGTTCGACAAAATTGGGATCTAATGTTGAGGGTATAGTGGAAGGCGTGGTGCTGTGGCGCCCACTCTTGAGTGGAAGTATGCTATGGGCTTATGACGCCACAGGCACATTATTTGCCGCTGCTAGCGATCACCATTTGATACACGAGGAAAGCAAATTTATCCTAAACACTGTCTTAAAAATATTTTGTAAGAATAAGTGCTTAACTTTTAATTAGTTGCGGAAAAACAAAGTATAACTGACGAAATCGAAGTAAATAAAATTAGTTGACATTGAAGAGATAATTTAACGATACATGAGGATCGCACCATACCAGAGGTTGTCGTGTAGCCGCAGCTCAGTATATGGTGCCCTAGAAAAGCGAATGGTGTCCCAAGAGTAGTGCAGCATTTCTTGAAATCTTGTTCCGACTGAGACTTTTTAATGTTTTCTTTTATGTGTTACAGTAGCACGTGTGATGTGATTACATGTACGCGAGTGTAAGGCGAGTGTGAGCCTTGCTGGTCGGTATGGACTACCGGGTCCAGCTGTATCATGGCCTGGTTTCGGCAGACGCGTATGCTGCACGCGCGGTGGGCGCCGTGCCGAAGCACGCGTATGCTATACATGACGGTGCCTCGCAAGTCGTATACTATGTGTGCGCGGAAGTGTTATACTCTGTATGCGCGGAAGTCGTGTTCTCTGAACATGCAGCAGGCTTTATCCGGGCAGGTGCTGTCCTGGTTCACGTGGTTAACGTAGGATCTCGCAAGTTTAAGTAAGAGTATGTGTGAGATACTTCGTATGGAGATGTATGCTTAAATGTGAAAGCGAAGTGCTTTATTATAGTCCACGGTATGAGAGCGTATGTCTGTTTGAGGGCCCTCGTATGAGTGATGGATAAGAGGATAGGCAACTGTGTATCCTGCCTGCTAATTAACAAGTTGTTTTTCACGTAGATCACGATGATTGCAACGCAATAAACGCACAAAATATAAAAGGCGTAGGCGATCGCGTTATTTGAGCTTAAAGAAATTTAAGAGTCAGGACAGGCCGAAGCAAATAAGCATATTCTATGAACTTTTAGGTGGTAAGGTATAAGAAAATACATCACAAAGTCTATGTTAGGTAGTACCGAAAAAGTGTATATGGTAAAATTTTTGATTGCATTTTACTGAGTGCGCAAGTCAGTACAAAATATTGGTTAAACACATAAAAAGTTAAACAAAACCGAGATAAGCATAGTTGGTACGTTTATAAGACTAAATATCTTATTAAACGTAACTGGAATGAACTTGGTACGTTTAAGTGAGACTAAATGTCCTTTAAATGCAAGTGATTCCAGGAAAAAGACGAACCTGGTCTCTTAAGTGTGACAAGTTCCTTTAAGTGCAGGTGGTCTTAAAAGTGCCGTCGAGTTTTGTAGAACTAAAAATGTGTAACCTGATTATAACATCTGACTATAAACTTGCGTCATGATCAGTTTATATATATGAAAGTAGTTTCTAATCAATTTATGTCTTCGCAGTATTTTAAACGGACTCGTGGGGTTCCTGAGGCAGGAACCATGCAGGATGGCAGTGTTGGCAACCAACATCGGCCGCCCCTCTTCGTGCACAACGGAAGAGAAGTGGAAAGGGAAATGTGAAGTGGAAAGGGAAATGTATAAATTAGGGTGCATCATGAGTCTTGGGGATTCCGCCTGTGGCACCGCTCTCGAGCGGTCGCGTCTAGGTAGTCCGCACATCCGTCCCCGTACGGTAGTGCTCTCTCGCTCTCGCGCCTCCGCTGTCCTGCTCGCACTGTACAGTGCGACGCCTGGTGAGTCCTTTTTCGCTAACTCCAGTTATTACCTCCCTGTCTCCGGGCGGGGCGGTTTGACTGTTGGTCTTGCTTTTTAATTGTCATTTTTGTTTTTGTGATTATTTTCTTGTTATTAATTGTAACGTGTATATTGTTTCAAGGGAGTTACTTGCTCTTTTCAGAGCAAGGCCCTGTTCTTTTGAGAACCAGGGCACAACTCCTTGAATAAGACCGTCCCGTTCTTTTCAGAACGTTGATCCCGCCCTTACTGTTTCTTAAGAATACGATCTGTTCTTCTCAGAACAGTGTCCCCCTGTCTTCTTAAGTAGATACGTAAAATGTCCTCGCAGGAATTGATAGTCTCCCTGTAAAATGCCGTCTCTCGGTTGCATAAAGACCCGGAGGGTCTTAAAGCAGCCATCATAGCCCTTATGGCTCCTCCCACCGTTCAGGCACCGCCGCCCGTTATAGCGGCCTACCTCGAGTCCCGGAACTCGTTCGCGTCCCTTGAGATCGACATGGAGTGCTCCAACTCCGACTCAGAATCCACACTCCGGGGCTCTGGTTCTACGGAGTCGTCTGACTCAGACGGATCCGAAGAATCAGAGTTCACGACAGTGTCTTCCAAGCGTCGTAAACGCGCCGCGAAAACCGTTTCGGCGGCCTCTGCCGCCCCCGCAAACCCCGCAGCCCCCGTAGCTGCCTCAGTCCCCGCAGCTCCCGCTGCAGTTTCCGTGACACCACTGCCCAAGCCAGCCTCCCGCTGTGCTTCTAACCCGACTAAGAAGCAAGTCCCGCCCCCTGTCTTCTTACGAGACAAGGCTCAATTTACCCGCCTCTACAAACCCTGCTACGACGCAGGAATAAAATACGACCAAGCCACCAACCTCGGGGAGGCTATTAAAATCATCCCCCAATCTGTCGACGACTTTCGTCGTCTCCCCAGGCTCTTCACAGCCGAACAAGTCTCTTATCACACGTACGCTCTTCCGGAAGAGCGCAAAATCAGGGCCGTCATCCGAGGCGTCCCTTTTGAAATTTCCAACGAGGAAATCCTTGAGGACCTTAAGTCCCAAGGATTCCCGGTTGAGGCTGTGCATAAAATGCACAGCAGAACGGGCTTGAGGTTCCCCCTCGCTCTCGTTATTCTTGCAAACGCTCCGGAGGCAAAGACTATCTTCCGACAGTTACGCACAGTGTGTGGGCTGTCGGGAGTTAGGGCTGAGCTCCCACATAGGCGCGGCTACCCGGCGCAGTGCCACCGCTGCCAGTTATATGGTCATGCGGCGGCCAACTGCTCCGCCCCACCCAGGTGCGTTAAGTGCCTCGACCCCCACAACACGAAAGAGTGTCCCCGGCCCAAAAATGCCGAATCCCCACCCGCGTGCGTCCTGTGTAAACAAACAGGCCACCCGGCTAACTACAGAGGCTGCCCTTGCGCACCTCCCCCCCGCCCCATTAGGCACGCTCCACCGCCGGTTAATACTAGGTCATTCCCGGCCCTCCCGTCAAGATTGCCACCTAAGAGATATTTTCGCCCATCTCAGGTAGACCCAAGGCCCTCCCGGGTCCCTCCCCCTCTTCTTCGCCCACCTCCGGGCTTCTCACAACCATTACAGCCTCCAGTCTTTCCCTGGGGACCCAAAAAGGCCGACCCTCCGCGGTCGTCCCCCGCTGCACAGCAAGCACAACCCTCAATGGTTGATGATCTAAATACGGTGTACGCCGCTATTAAGAACATCAACATTGGGGAGATCACAGTCTTAGCACGCAAATTGCGCGCTGCCAAGTCCCCTCAGGACAGACTCCTTGCTCTTACAGAGCATCATAATCTTTTAAGTACGTTATAAAATTATTTTAATCATTTCATCGTAAGGTCAATACGTCGGGTTAAAACTGCCTTCGTAGGCACTCACTAATTAAAACTCTCTGAAACTTCTTCAAAGTCTCAGAGTTTCATTAAACATACTTATTCGTGAGGTAGCTAAGTGTGCAACCCCACTCCCTCTCGCTATCACATCCGCAGGCCGAGGAACTCCCACTCGAACCCGCCTATTCTCTGTCAAACGATTTGAACTGCCTCCTGGTGGCTCAGTCAATTTCATAATTAAACTTTCATAAATAATTAAATTTTTACAATCAAATTGCCTTCGTAGGCACTCCCTCAGCGGCTTATAGCCGCCTGCGCCCTCTTTTTCCCAAAAGAGGGTCGCTTTACGATACGGTATAGGAAGCTTTAAACAGCTGGTTGCCAGTCCCCAAAGGCGGTTTTTAGGGGGTATCACATAGGCTCCCCGGTTAGGCGTGAGTCCCCCATAACCACGATGGATAGCCATCGTGGTATGCGTAATGCATTTTCCGCCTCCCGTAAAGGGTAGCCCTTTTCCAAATTGCTTCGAGCGCAAAAAAAAAAAAGAGTCTTGGGGATTCTGTTTTGAGAACACGCGTCGAATTAGTCAAAGTGTAATTAAGTATCGTGATTACAAAAACTGTAATATTGAGTGTTCTGTATAAATATTAATTGAATACATATATTGTGTTATAAGTGCATATTTCTTTATAATAAATTATTTCATTGTGTTAACACTTGGTTATCTAAACTCCTGTTATTTTGAACTTTTGGTAATTTGAAATTTTGCTCTGGTCTCTTGAGTTTCAAATTATCGAGAGTCGACTGTAGATATCACATAAATACAGCTTTTAAGTCGATAGCTTGACACGTTGCATTCGGAACAATAATTTGTAAACAATATTGTTTTGTGCCTGATTCCAACTTGCAGCGCAATCAAACTTTTTGTTTACTGCGCGACCGAACCATCTATTTTACCGAACTGTTTCAATACTAATTTCACAGATGATCGAATTGCCGTACCAAGAATTAGGTTTCCGAATGGTCGTGATACTGCCTAACGAAGTGGACGGTTTGTCGTCAGTTCTGGAAAAGGTGGCCGAGAAGGGTCTTTTAGACGACGTGTTCGCTTTGAGCCTAGCGGGAAGGGAAATCAACTTGTACTTGCCTAAATTCGAAGTTAGGAGTAAACTGGACTTCACTCAGATATTGCCCAAGGTTCGTAATGCTCTTATATTAACATCATCCATTCAACTCGTTAGCTTGTTACGGAGAAAACGCAAAAGCAATCGGAAATTTCAAACAGTTTTTTTAGTGACAACAAACGAGCACACAGTTCACTTGATAGTAAGTGGACTTGGTTGAAGTGGCTGTAGCCTATAGACACCCTATCACCTACATCTATCCTCAATAAGGATCAGAATGCAAATGCGTTGAGGTGAGGACTATGATGGAATGTCCGTTCAGTCGATAGGGTCTCCTATTCTCCTCACTCAAAATATGAAACACAGCAGCACTATACTGCTATTTTACGCTGGTGTCCTGCAACGACGTTGTCATTCCCCGATCGAGTCGACCCTTTTGTGCTATACAGCTATAATATACCGAGGCTGGTGACATATAATAGGTGGTAAACAATCTACTTCTGGTGGGTGATTGTTATTACTTATTACTTTCACATATTGAAATTTTAGCCTGTACTTTATTTTGCCTTTACTTTCTGGTTTGTACTCATATATCACATATTTAGGATTAACTTTGAGAGGAATTAAAAATCATTAGAACTTTGACATGTAAATTGTAATATTATTTTAAAATTAGATCGATTATCGTGGTACTTGATTCCTTGCATTACAGGCAACTATTGCATGCCGTAAGCGCAACGCGCATAGGTATGTTCTACTAGCGCCTAAAAATCAAGATTCCAACGTTTTGTCGCATGAAATCGTATCTAGCAATCATTTATACATATAAATGATATAAAAAGCACATTGTCGGAAAGATAAATGATTGTTGAACTTAATAATATTTTTTATGAATCGATTAATTACTATTTTTAAATAAAAAAGGGGTTTTAGTGGCTTATGGTGTGGATTTATCAAGCCCGCAAGGCTTGTAAACACGATAACTTTTGAAAATATCTATTGTTCAACTCAGTATATTTTTAAAACTCTTCATCTATCATGTGGGAAGTCACTGAATGTAAATGGGAGTTTAATTTTGTTTAGTTTAGTTATCATAAATTTTTTTCGGCTGATAAATGTCGAAATTTTCGGTGTTTGAGCAGCCTTGTGTGAAATCATCATCATCATCATCATCATTACAGCCCTTCACAAGTCCACTGCAGAACATAGGCCTCCCCCAAAGAATGCCACAAAGCACGGTCCTGAGCCACCTGCATCCATCGACTTCCTGCATGTCTTACCAGGTCGTCACTCCATCTCGTGGGGGGACGCCCTACACTTCGCCTACCGGTACGAGGCTGCCACTCGAGAACCTTTCTTCCCCATCGGTTGTCGGTTCTTCGAGCTATATGGCCGGCCCACTGCCACTTCAGCTTACTAATCCGTTGGGCTATGTCGGTTACTCTGGTTCTACTGCGGATATCCTCATTCCTAAGTTTATCACGCAGAGAAACTCCGAGCATAGCCCTCTCCATAGCTCGCTGAGCGACCTTGAGCTTCCTCATACGGCCAGCAGTGAAGGACCACGTCTCAGTTCCATAAGTCATCACTGGCAACACGCACTGGTTGTACAATTTCGTTTTCAGGATTTGAGGTATGTCTGACGACAAGATGTGTCGTAGCTTCCCGAACGCTGCCCAGCCGAGTTGAATCCGTCGATTGACCTCTCGGTCGAAGTTGGACTTACCTAGTCGGACTATTTGTCCCAGGTAAACATACTCGTCAACAACTTCGAGCTTAGTGCTCCCAACAACTACCGGCATAGGTGTGACATGGACATTGAACATGATCTTTGTTTTGTCCATGTTCATCTTAAGACCTATCCGTTGGGAAACACTATCGAGGTCATTGAGCATAGTGCTTAGGTCCTCCAGCGATTCTGCCATAAGGACTATATCGTCGGCAAATCGAAGGTGAGTGATGTACTCGCCATTGATGTTGATACCGTATCCTTTCCAGTCCAGAAGCTTGAAAACGTCTTCCAATGCAGCGGTGAAGAGTTTCGGGGATATGACGTCACCCTGTCTTACACCTCTCTGCAATTGGATAGGTTTCGTACTCTGGTTCTGTACTCGGATAGCCATCGTAGCCCTACTGTACAAGCACTTCAACACTTCGATATACCGACAGTCAACTTGGCACCGCTGAAGGGACTGCAGCACCGCCCAAATTTCGACGGAATCAAAGGCTTTCTCATAGTCCACATACGCCAGACATAGTGGCAAATTGTACTCTTCGGACTTCTGTACAATTTGCCGAAGGGTATGTATGTGGTCTATGGTGCTAAAGCCCTTTCGGAAACCGGCTTGTTCGGGAGGCTGGAAGTCGTCAAGTCTGCGCGCGAGACGATTCGTAATGACTCTCGAAAACAGCACGTAGACGCGGCTCAGAAGGGAAATCGGTCTGTAGTTCTTCAAGAGAGCGTTGTCACCTTTCTTGAAGAACAAGACCACCGCACTTCTGCTCCACGCCTCCGGTGTAATGCCACCATGGAGGACGGAATTAAAGAGCTTCTGAAGGACTTCAAGTACCGGTCTTCCACCCGCTTTCAGAAGCTCCGCTGTAATTCCATCCTCGCCTGGGGCCTTACCGTTTTTAAGGTGCTGGAGAGCCATTCTAATCTCGCTCAGACTGACGTCCGGGATATCTTCGGAATAGTGTCGGATGAGACTCACTCTTGGATCGTTACTCACACTTGCGTGTGGCTCCAACGATGACGTGTACAGCTGCCCATAGAACCTCTCAATCTCACTCAAAATCTCAGATGTCCCGGAAACGATGCTGCCACATCCTGTCTTCAGCTTTGACAGGTGGCTCTTTCTGGCAGACAGATCTCTGGCAAAGACTTTGGAGCCTTGGTTCCGCTCGATCGCTTCTTCAATACGAGCTGTATTGAAGTTGCGTAAGTCCCGCCGCATGCATTTGGAGATCTGTCTGTTCAGATGCCTGTATGCTGTCAAGTCTGTTGAAGAATGTAGCTTTATCTCCCGTCTAACAGCCATGAGATTAAGAGTGTGATCGGAGAGTTTTTGTGTTCTTCTGCGGCGGGTCTTGCAGAACTTAGCTCCGACCGCATGGACAGTTTCCACGAGTTTGTCATTCATATCGTCCACTTCATTGCAGTCTTCTAGGCACTGAAAACGGTTTTGTAACTCGAGCTGAAAGGTTTCGGGACTTTGGAACAGAGCACGAGGGGGACGGAGCGTTGACTTCATTAGACGAGACCTCTCCAACTTAACGTTTAGGTTCAGTGTGCCTCTAACCATTCGGTGATCGCTACCACTTTTCACCCTCGCGATCACGGAGACATCACTGAACAGTTGTCGTCTGGTCGTCATAATGAAGTCAATCTCATTTTTTGTCGAACCGTCGGGGCTCGACCAGGTCCACTTCCTGTGGGGCCGCTTCTGGAAGAAAGAGTTCATCATAAAGAGTCCCTCTTTCTCCATGAAGTCGGCCAGCTGCTGGCCCCTTGGGTTCCGTTGCCCTATTCCAAATTTCCCTACTTTCAGCTCACCGTTCTCTCTTGTGCCTAGTTTTGCATTGAAGTCTCCCATTAACACCGTATATTGGGTTTTGGAGGAATGCATGGCTCTAGAGATATCCTCATACATTTCCTCCACCTCCCCATCGGGGTGTGCCGAGGTTGGTGCGTAAACCTGTATGACCTTCAGCGAATACCGTTTGGTGATTCTGAGTATAAGGTACGCAACCCTCGTCGACACACTCCCGATCTTTACAACGTTGTTAACGAGAGACTTGTGGACGATAAATCCGACACCTCCTTGGGACAGATGGTCGCCCTCCCGGTGATAGAGCAAGTTGCCGAATTCGAGGATTACCGTGTCCTCCCCCTCTCTTCGGACAATCCTATAATATGCCAGCGCAACTTGTCTATCTCTTCTTCCAGCTCCACGATCTTCTCGTCAGTCCTCAGGGTGCGTGCGTTGTACGTTGCCAGGTCGAGTCGTCTAAGGTGGCAACCGAACCTCCACCGGAGATTCTTAGCACCCCCTGCCCCGCCGTTACCATGGTCGCCACCGTAGCCAGGAATAGCGGGGCCGCCGGGGACTGGGGGCCGTCTCTTTGTTACATTCATAGGGGGGTATTTGCCATAGTTGCCACGCTTGGCGAGCGGGTTGGCAACCGCAGTTTTTTTATTGTAATTTTGGCTATTATCAGGAAGATGCTGCTGCCCATCTCCTGCCTGTTTCCCTTTGTCGCCTTTTACGACACCCACGGGAGGATATGGGGTAGTGGTATTCTTGACCGCCACTACACGGCAATGTGAATGTGTGAAATCATTATTTAGTAAATAGACTGCCTCACTCAGTAGCTCAGTACGGCGTCAACCGCCGTTCTGTATTGATTGTTTGCAGCGGCTCAAAAGATCGCTGTACAAATTAATATAAAATTTTAGAAAAACAAATTTCTTACTATTTTATATTACTTGACTATTATAATAATCAGAGATTTTTATCACAATATTTTAAAAGCACAGAATAAATAATAGTAGCACGTACTAAAAGTAAGTAGGATGTAATATTTATACTTAAATATGTCTTGGACTTTATGGTATTACGTAATTTTTTTTAATGCGATTATGGCATGCTCAATTGAATTTAACAACAGTTTTTTTTAAATGTACTTGCAGCTATGTAGATCTAGAGACCAGTATCACTGCGGCCTAAAATATCTATCGTGAGCGCTGCTATGTCTACAGTTAACTGCTAAGCGTCCTCAATGAATAGACGGATTTGCTTAGCTGTGAGTAATAATCTCACTTCCTCTGGGTGAAGTATATAGTTTCCCAGATGAGTGCTGCGTTTGCGCATTAAGGGTCCGCAATTTGTCGGGATGTGTAAAGGCAACTAAAGTGACTGTCATTGATTTGGATTTTAATGAACTGACAATTTTAGAGGATTTTTTTTATCTCTTAATCCACATTCACCATAACTGTGGGATAATAGGAAAATGGAATTCGCGAAGCGGTGCATTGCTCTTTTTTCTTTCAAAAAATTGGATTATTATTTACATAAAGGTGATAAGACTTCTTTTCTGCCCAAGAGGCCTTCTGGGTGGTTACCACTCTCTTACCTACATCTGCCGCCAAATAGAGAACCAGAGTATGATTAATTACAGGCTATGAGATATTCAAGAGGTAACAACACATCTGTAGCTTACTTTGTTTCAAGTTGGTTGCGTCCATGGGCGGCAGTGTCCACTTACCGTCAAATGGACTGTTAGGTCATTTGTCAGTTCATGTATAACATAGGTTACTAAAAAAATAAAATAAGGTTAAGGATTAGAAAAAAAATTTGTAGGATAAAAACATTCCCCGCTTTTACAGCTGGGAGTGAGCAGAATATTCAGTGATGGAGCCCCGGGAATAGTGAAGGAGCGCGAGGTTGCCGTCTCGAAATTTTTCCAAGAGGCCATCGTGAAGGTCGATGAAGAAGGTGCTACTGCGGGAGCATTTACTGGTAAGCGGCTTCGAGTTAAAGAATTAGTTATAACTAAAAATTACATTTTTAGAATTCCGTGGTTACACAACAAGGAACCCTTATAGTTTCGCCATTTCCGTCCGTCCGCGGTTTTGTTCAGAGACCCTAGGTGCTACAAATCTAATTTGGCATAGTTATAGATATTAATCACGCCTATAAAGCTGAAACAAAATCTCGATTCATGGGTCTATTTGCGAAATATTTAACTTTAAAGTTGTATTTTTCATTAGTCATGTCATTGTACAAACTAAACCGCTGTTTTTGGAAATGTGAAAATATACAGAATAGTAGTATATATAATGAAGTTAAAAGGAAAACTATGACAGTTAAGTAGAATAAAGAAGTCAACGTGTAATGGTCGATCAACACGAACGAACGACCAAAACGAGCTTGGATTAGTAAAAATTTCGTTACAACTCCATAGAAAATGACCTAAATCTAGCTGGATTAATAACTTTGTAATGTTATTGTAAACTGTTAAAATAAACATGTTATGAAGATAACGACTTATATGCATTGCTACTATTAGCTTTACTTTTTCATTTGCAGGATAGATTATCAAAATCTAAGTTTTTTTTAAAATATTTTTTGAATACCACATCTTAACGCTGCTGTGTTTCATATGGTGAGTCTAGAGAACCGGAGACCCTTTTTACTGGAAAAGAGGCATTCCGTCGTAGTCCTCACGGGTGACAACGCATCTGCATTTCGAGTCTTTATTGAGGATAGATGTAGATGTCTATGGGTCACAGTAACCACTTATCATCAGGTGGACTGTGTGCTCGTTTGTCACCCTATCCTATAAAAAAAAAGCAATTACCTCATTCCCAGGGGTTATTGTTACTGTGAAGTCGAGTAACTGCACTGGTACTAGTACTACTACTAGCTTGTGTCTGTTCTTAGTATTTACAGAGTGAGTATCAGATTATTTTAAATGACTTCTATATTTTGTATACATACATACATTGCCTCTTGTGGAGGTGGGTAAGAACCCACTACTCCCATATCTTCCCGTGTGTGTCGTAAGAGGCGACAGAGGAAAACTGAGACAGAAGATGGGCAGCAGCATCTTTCTGATAACAGTAAATTACAATAATAAAACTGCGGTTACCAACCCGCTCGCCAAGTGTGACAACTATGGCAATATACTCCCCATAACGAGAGTTACAAAAAGACGGCCCCCAGTCCCTAGCGGCCTCGCTATTCCTGGCTACGGTGGCGACATGGTAACGGCGGGGCAGGGGGTGCTAAGAATCTCCGGTGGAGGTTCGGTTGCCACCTAAGAGGACTCGACCTGACTACATACAACGCACGCACCCTGGATTAACGAGAAGATCCTGGAGCTTGAAGAAGAGATAGACAAGTTGCGCTGGGATATTATAGGAATATCTGAGTTCCGAAGAGATGGGGAGGACACAATAATTCTCGAATGTGGCAACTTGTTCTATCACGGGGAGGGCGACCATCTGTCCCAAGGAGGTATCGGATTTATCGTCCACAAGTCTCTCGTTAACGTTATAAAGATTGTGTGTCGACGAGGGTTGCGTTGAAGGTCATACAGGTTTATGCACCAACCTCGGCACATCCCGATGAGGAGGTGGAGGAATTGTATGAGGATATATCTAGAGCCATACATTGCTCCCAAACCCACTATATGGTATTAATGGGAGACTTCAAAGCAAAACTAGGCATAAGAAAGAACGGTGATCTGAAGATGGGGAAATTTGGAATAGGGCAACAATACATACCCTTCGGCAAATTGTACAGAAGACCGAAGAGTACAATCTGCCACTTAGTCTTGCGTATGTGGACTATGAGAAAGCCTTTGATTCCTTCGAAACTTGGGCGGTGCTGCAATCCCTTCAGCGATGCTAAATTGACTGTCGGTATATCGAAGTGTTGAAGTGTTTGTACAGTAGGGCTACGATAGCTATCCGAGTACAGAACCAGAGTACGAAACCTATCCAACTGCAGAGAGGTGTATAACAGGGTGATGTTATATTACCGAAACTCATCACCGCTGCATTAGAAGACGCTTTCAACCTACTGGACTGGAAAGGATACGGTATTAATGTCAATAGCGAGTACTTCACTCACCTTCAATTTGCCGACGATGTAGTAGTCCTTAAGGCGGAATCACTGGAGGACCTAAGCACTACGCTCAATGACCACAATAGTGTCTCCCAACGGATAGGTCTTAAGATGAACATAGACAAAACAAAAGTCATGTGTAACGTCCATGTCACACTTATTCTGGTAGTTGTTGAGAGTACTACGCTAAAAGTTGTTGACGAGTATGTATAGTCCGACTAGGTAAATCCAACTTCGACCGAGAGGTAAATTATTTAGGTACATTAAGAAAATTATTGTGAGATCGCGACTCTTCCCCGGTCCAGCCAACCAATATATTTAAGTGTATACGTATAATATAGCTGAAATGTGGCTATCTTGAAATTCGAGACTTAGCGTCAGTCTCGAATCTCAAGATAGCCACGGCGCAATATTAGAATATTAAAAATAAATAATTTGTTTTATTTCTACAGGAGCCATTGCAGTACCAATGTCCTCCAACTCTAAGCCACCAGAACCTATGGATTTTATAGTTGACCATCCTTTCTTATTTGCTATTCTACATGAAGACGTGGTACTCTTTACCGGTATCTATACCCACTAAGTGGTTACTGCGAAACATATTCGTGGAATAAAAAATAAAAATATTTAGTTGTGTTTTTATACCTTAACTAAACTTCACATATTAGTATCAACCTATCATTTAAGTTATTCCAAACAGTCAGTATATAATATATTACTTAAGTTAACATAACTTGGTCTCATCTTTATACGAAAGTGCTAACAATGGTTAAAAGAATATTAATTATATGTTTGCAATATGTATATAATGTCTATGTAGTTATTAGTACATGGATATATTGTAACCTTAGAGTATACATATACAAGCTATGCTTATGCATACTAAGATTGCAACATTTACATATATGTACATATATGTATAACAATATATGTATAAACGGTAAGGCCCCAGGCGAGGATGGAATTACAGCGGAGCTTCTGAAAGCGGGTGGAAGACCGGTACTTGAAGTCCTTCAGAAGCTCTTTAATTCTGTCCTCCATGGTGGCATTACACCGGAGGCGTGGAGCAGAAGTGCGGTGGTCTTGTTCTTCAAGAAAGGTGACAACGCTCTCTTGAAGAACTACAGACCGATTTCCCTTCTGAGCCGCGTCTACGTGCTGTTTTCGAGAGTCATTACGAATCGTCTCGCGCGCAGACTTGACGACTTCCAGCCTCCCGAACAAGCCGGTTTCCGAAAGGGCTTTAGCACCATAGACCACATACATACCCTTCGGCAAGTTGTACAGAAGTCCGAAGAGTACAATTTGCCACTATGTCTGGCGTATGTGGACTATGAGAAAGCCTTTGATTCCGTCGAAATTTGGGCGGTGCTGCAGTCCCTTCAGCGGTGCCAAGTTGACTGTCGGTATATCGAAGTGCTGAAGTGCTTGTACAGTAGGGCTACGATGGCTATCCGAGTACAGAACCAGAATACTAAACCTATCCAATTGCAGAGAGGTGTAAGACAGGGTGACGTCATATCCCCGAAACTCTTCACCGCTGCATTGGAAGACGTTTTCAAGCTTCTGGACTGGAAAGGATACGGTATCAACATCAATGGCGAGTACATCACTCACCTTCGATTTGCCGACGATATAGTCCTTATGGCAGAATCGCTGGAGGACCTAAGCACTATGCTCAATGACCTCAATAGTGTTTCCCAACGGATAGGTCTTAAGATGAACATGGACAAAACAAAGATCATGTTTAATGTCCATGTCACACCTATGCCGGTAGTTGTTGGGAGCACTAAGCTCGAAGTTGTTGACGAGTATGTTTACCTGGGACAAATAGTCCGACTAGGTAAGTCCAACTTCGACCGAGAGGTCAATCGACGGATTCAACTCGGCTGGGCAGCGTTCGGGAAGCTACGACACATCTTCTCGTCAGACATACCTCAAAACCTCAAAACGAAATTGTACAACCAGTGCGTGTTGCCAGAGATGACTTACGGAACTGAGACGTGGTCCTTCACTGCTGGCCGTATGAGGAAGCTCAAGGTCGCTCAGCGAGCTATGGAGAGGGCTATGCTCGGAGTTTCTCTGCGTGATAAACTTAGGAATGAGGATATCCGCAGTAGAACCAGAGTGACCGACATAGCCCAACGGATTAGTAAGCTGAAGTGGCAGTGGGCCGGCCATATAGCCCGAAGAACCGACAACCGATGGGGAAGAAAGGTTCTCGAGTGGCAGCCTCGTACCGGTAGGCGAAGTGTAGGGCGTCCCCCCACGAGATGGAGTGACGACCTGGTAAGACATGCAGGAAGTCGATGGATGCAGGTGGCTCAGGACCGTGCTTTGTGGCATTCTTTGGGGGAGGCCTATGTTCAGCAGTGGACTTGTGAAGGGCTGTAATGATGATGATGACATATATGTATATGTGTATGTATATGTGTGAGTATGTGTATTAAATTTAATTTAATACTTATGTACACTGATCCTATAGAAAAATGTGGATAAAATGTGTTGACTGTATGATTGTTAAGCATAATATATTATATAGTATTACATTTAGTGAACCGATATAAAAGCCTTATATAAGGAATGTAACAGTGGGTCGCAGCAGGCTAATAATGCTGAGATAAAATAAACTTTAAGAAAAATGAAAAACATCGAAGTAAGTCAATGCCAAAAAGAATTAAATCCCAGACTTCACAAGCTATGAGGTGCAAATTATTTTACTATTTTTAGTTTTTGAAGTACTTAGGTTTTTAATTTTTTTACTCCTTTAAGTGATATATGGCTGCAGCATGACAAGGCAGAGCCATGCTGCAACTATATTAGTAGTATAGTTGTAGCACAAATGGGTCAGCTCGACCGGGGAAGGACCACGCTTTCACAGAATAGGTACCGGCGTAAAATAGCAGCTTAATGCTGCTGTGTTTCGTATGGTGAGTGTAGAGAACCGGAGACCCTTTTTACTGGCAAAGAGGCATTCCATCTTAGTCCTCACGGGTGACAACGCATCTGCATCTTGAGTCTTTATTGAGGATAGATGTAGATGTCGATGGGTCACAGTAACCAATAACCATCAGGTGGACTGTGTGCTCGTTGGTCTACCTATCCTATAAAAAGAAAACTAAGAAATGTCACAAGGCAATGAGGGCATCCATGACTTTTTCTGCCACCAGGGCAGCGCCACTTAAAAGTGAGGTATAATATTTGACAGATTTCATAGTGGTTACTTAATTTGTTCGAAAAAATATAAAGGTTAATGTTTCTTTCTGTACTATTAACTATATTTTATATTAATAAGATTAAAAATAAATAAACCAATCCACCGATATTCATAAAAGTAGAAAAATTAAAAAAAAGTTAAAAATGTGCAAAAAATTAAAGAGCAAACCACTGTAACATTGTTTGTGTATTAATATAATGCTCTAGAAACTGATAAAATTTATTAAAAACTAACTTCTCAGTTAAATGACATTGTGTAACAAAAAACTTTACCTCAGTGTTAACTAGCGACATCTGGTGAGCAGAAAATTATTAGCCCTCATTAGAACATCCTATAAATAGTTACTTTAAAAATTTTACCCTTATTTTTCCATGCTTAGGGATATTTTTTTTTCTTAATATTTATATGTGACCAGTCCTGAAGTATTAACCTATTTAATAAAAGAATCATTAAATTCTTCCATAAACAAAGAAGTTACAACAGAGTATATATAAAAATAATAATATAAAATAGACAAAGAAGAAAGATTCCTCCTTTTTTTTTGAAGTCAGTTAAATAGGAAAAATATGCAAAATAAGTAATATTTTTTAATTTATAGCTATTATTCATTGTAGGCCATTCAACAATAGAAAAAATCTAAGTTGAACAAAAACAAAACATTTATTTAAATATATAAAGAATATTAATATCCTGTTTTTTTTTTGTAGAGTAAGGGTGACAACCAAGTACACAGTCCACCCGATGGTAAGTGGATGCTGTGGCCCATAAACTGTTACATTTATCTGCGATTAAGAATCAAAATGCAGATGTGTTGTGACCCCTGAGGAATAACATAGAATGCCTCGTTTCCAGTAAAAAGGGTCTCCAGTTCTCTAAACTCACCATATGAATTGCTGCTATTTTATGCTTGTATTCTGTGAGAATGTAGTCCTACCCCAGTCGAGCAAACCCATTTGTGCTACAACCATAATGAAGCATGCCTATAAAATATGGCACATAAGTAAATAGAATATAGCACAGAAACAAACTATTATTCAACATAGGAACTGGGAAGAACCAGCAAACAACCTAGTGAAATATTTTTTGAAAACAAAAAAAAAGAATAATAGTTTACTATGATATATGTTAAGAAATTAAACACAAAACAAATTAGAAATGGCTTAGTAGCGATCACCTTCTTCCACATCTACCAGATGTCTTAAATGAATATGTTGTCAAAAATGTTAGAAAAAAGGTGATATCTTTATCTATGTTCTATATATTATATAAAAGATGTCTTGAGTAACATCTGTTAACGCACAATACAAACGTAACTGCCTTTTATAACATAGGCATCTAATAAAACAGGACTCTGGAAAATTCAAACTAAGAGGGTAAAGTAGGGTGTAACAGATTGTATGAAACTTTTTATTTTACAGGGCGATTGACTAGAAAGCCAGAGTGTTTAAATTTGTATGAAACAAAAATAACTGCAACTGGGAAACAGAATTAACAGAAAACCTAATAACTGATGCCAATCCCGTACATTACGATTACTTAAAGCCATTATAGGAACTTAGAACTTTTTAATATAAATATCAATATGGTGCTTCATACCATAATATCAATAATCGGTTATGGGGCTTGCTTATTTAGAGCAATTGCTCTGTTGTATGGGAAGCAATTTTTGACTTGAGAAATTCGAGAGTAAATTCTGAAATACGTTATAGCCCCTTAGCCAACGAGCATATTATACCTAATCCACCAAAGGGCTACATGCAACTCTTATTGCAGGTCAGTTAAAGGCGACATCGTGAAAAAATGCACTTCCTTTCATTGAATAGTATAGGAGTATGACACCATTAACGAAACTGAAATTTTGATATAGGTAAATTCATGTCTTTATCTTGAATTTGCTTGTTCGAAAACACGATTGTAAAATTTTGACTCGGTCATTATTATTTGCGAAACCACCTCTGAAACATCACTATAGTTGAAATTATAACAAAATTACTTAATCTATATGCTTGGGAACCACTCAAATACATTCATAACATCAATATTCGTAATTTACTTGCTCATTATTTTGATTACTAAAATCAATAATTTTTTTTTAAATATTTTAAGATTTTACGCGATTTATAAGCGGTCTTAATCGTCGCAGGCGCTACGCAATTTTTGGTCATATGACGGCGTTTTTGAAGTTTTTAACGGCGATAGCCCGCTTCGCTTTTTCGTACTACGAACGCGTCTTATTGCAGGCCAACCTGTGATCACGTAACGAAACATTTCAGTGGCCGACAAGCTAGCTGATGGTAAATAGTTGCTGTAACCCATAGACATATATACATTGATCCCCGATTAAGAATTAATATGCAGATGTGTAA